GGGTGGGTGGGTGTGGGTGGGTGTATGCGTGTGGGTGTATGTATATATTTATATTGATTATCTTTATATAAATATATAGGTATATCTATATGTCTGTGTCGGTGTCTTTGTCTGTGTGTGTGTCTGTGCGTGTGTGTGTGTGTGTGTGTGTATATATTCTTATGTATATATATATGTATGTATGTGTCTGTGTTTGTATGTATATGTATGTATTTATGTATATTCAACATGCATATATATATATATATATCGTGTATTGTATCTATTTCCAAATTGTATATATATATGTATATTTGTATGTTTGTATATTTGTATACATTTTTAATATGTATTTTTGTATTGTTATACCCGTATTGATTTTATGTTTGTTACCACGAATATATACCTCAATTAAAATGCAGATATGGATTTTATAAAGCTGTAGATAATAATTCATTTAAATGTGTATTTATTTTAGTTTGTATATACGATTTTCTGCAAGCGTATCTGATTGCTAGTTTAGTGTGTTTTCCTGTTTCAGTGAGTATGCTATGTTTGTGTATATATGTTGCGTCCTCAACTCCCACTTCAGCCTCTCCATCGTTCTCGATATATAGCGAACCTGAGTAGCGACAACTCTCTCTCAGCGTGGTGTTCATCCATCACCTCTGTACCTTATTCCCATGTATATCAACTTATTGCTGATCGCATGTGTCATATTGCCCTACGCTACGCCTGTCCACAGAACATCCTCACCTTTACGCCTAAGTGGTGGTTGGTTGATGCTTCGGGGGTCCCTGTTGGACGGTTAGCGACGCAATTGACCGCTGTGCTTCAGGGCAAGAACAAACCTATCTACCATCCCTCAGGTGAGTGTACCGACGTACGTCAGGCAAATAATCTATCTGGGATTTTATTTGTGGTGGAAAAAAGCTCATGCATATAAATATGACCGCAACCACGGACTTTCTCCTAGAAAATGTACACCGGTTATTGATATGCTGGGGCGGGGAAATAGTGAAAGTTATATACCTATACCTCGGAACATACACCGGCGCTGTTTGATAGGCGGAGATCACTGTGGCAGGGAGATTGCCCCCGGGGGGTGGGGCATTTCATTGTCATTGTGGTATTAATCAGTCCTTTCAGAACTTTTGTTTTCAGACTCTTACCTGGGCCTTGGCATTCTAAGCAAGCCTTTCAATTGAGAGCCGTTTGCTGTATTCCGCATTTCATAAGCCCAAACAATCCAAAGAACCGAATCTCAATACGAATTGAATTTTATTTTATCTGTGGCGTCAGTCGATGTTGGTGACTATGTTGTCGTCATCAACGCAGAGAAGATTGCGCTGAGCGGAAAAAAATGGGACCAGAAAGTATACAGGTAGGCGTTCTCGTCCCGTGGTATTTCCAGCAAGCGTACGTAGGTCTATTTTACTGGAGACTACCCATTGCCATTATGTCTGTTTTCTTCCGTAAACTTTGTATACATGATTTCTTGCCCGATTGAAGTGCGATCCAGTGGCGCTTATTTTTTTGCCTGGCCATATCAGTCACATATTGATCTTTTGTCCTTCGGAGCGATGCAGCCACATTTCGTATGAATACGGTATGTGTATATGATTGATCAATACACCCTAGCATTGTATAGTGTGGTGTAAATTCTCGAGCATATGAAATGTACATATCAAAATAAGTATACGCAAGCGCCGTGCAAATCTTTAACAAGCGTTTAAAGGATTCCCATCTAATTATCTCGCTCGGCGTGTCCCTCTCGAGTCTCCATGTGATAACTCTGACCCCGTCACCTTTACATTTTGCCGAGATGTCCGATAAAAAATATTAACTCTACCTATATCTGATTAAACTACAGGCACCATACGGGGTATCCTGGTGGTTTAAAGTCAATCAAGGCCAAGAACCTGTTGGAAAAGAAGCCTACCGAGGTGTGTGAGAGACTGTGCAATAGTATTACAGTTCATAGTTGCCCGATGTGTCACCTACTCGGGTACGTGCTGAATTGTACCTGCGTGACAAAAACTAAAAGAGGTTCGGCTTGTGACAAGGTTAAACCAATCGTCCAGCCGGTGTATGGGTGGCAGCCGGTGTATGGGTGGCATGTAGTCTCCCGGTGCGTTGTTGTTACTGATAGTACGGTCACGTGCTCATTTGCTATCGTTACAGTGTCTTTTTTTGTGTAGAATCTGTACTAAATCTGTCGGTGTTCAATCCATTGGAATTTCTGCGCGAATATATTTCAAGGCATTCAGTGATTTCTGCACTAGCGAATACTCGGTATCGTGGCTTGCTCAAACGTTTATGTGGCATTCGATGTGTACCTCAACACAACGTCTATGAGACACCGTATCGTTACAACTTTTATTTCATCACATCAAAGTTTGAAGCCTGCGGTATATCCCCACGTAGATTTCCGGACGGTATTTCTACGTCAATTTCTTGATGGGGAAGACGCTATATATGCTATCAAATATGCTTTAGATATAGTCTCCTAGCATCTTTGCTGGTCTCTAAACCGTTGAAAAAGTTTCGGACCAAGTATGCCTTTGATCGCGCACATATGGTGGGCTAAATACAGCCAGTGCATACTGCTCAATTGATATCGATCTGATTGTAGCATTTTACTTATTTACCTGCAGATCATTCGTAAAGCCACATACGGGATGTTACCGAAGAATGACCTCCGTCTACAACGTATACGTAAACTTCACGTGTTTCCTACTGAGAAGCATCCCTTCGCCGACAATGTAGGCCAGAACATAATCACACCCACCAAAACCGGAGGGAAGATGTACGGCAAGAGCAAAGAGATACCGCTAGTAGTTGAGATGCTGGAAATCAAGTGATTAAATTTATGTTTGGCATAGATGTTCTTGCGCTACTATATACCGGCTCTGTGAGCGCAGCGTTGATCCATTAGCATACAAAGTCCGTGAAAACCGCATACATATATACGTATGTATCCACTTGTATATGCAGGGATGCTAATTTCGTAGAGGTATCATCACTGTCGTGTGTACCCTTGTACTGCTTCATCTCGTTTTGTATAAGCAGGATCATCAGTGCTTCTCTGTGCGCAAACCAGAATCTCAGTTTTTAATGCAGTTACAATTGCTCAAGCATATATAGATAAACACGCATACTTTTTTGTGCTTGTATGAGTACTCTTGCCTGTACTACTGAAAGCTGCCCTATCTCAACTAGATTGACGAGGTAAAATTTCCTATCGAAATAGCATAGCATATAGTAGAAACGTTCAAGTTAACAGCGTGATTAAATCAAGCTGTGTTTTAAACGCTTAGTATGATATCTCATATGGGTTCGACGTGCACTCGTATCTATGACCGCGATATGTGAGCCTACTAACCCATCCTTCTTATCCATATTTGCCATAGAATTGGTATGCAAGTTCAAGTTGATGCTTCGTACATTGTTTATGTTGCACAAAACCTTCATTTGTTTTTTATTGCGATGTCCATACATATCTCTTCACATTCTTCTGCCGTCCATATTAAACAGGCGGCATTATTTTTTTTTATCAATCAGGAATTTTCAAATAGCAGGTATATGTTCTAGGTAAGTCACGAAACGTTCCGTTGGGAATTTTGATATGCCACTAAATTGACCCCCAAATAGGCTCGACATTTACCTGCATCGTGAATCTGTCACTTATTCCCGTTCGTTCTCTCTCGGTTACTCTTAGGATTCTCAACGGCGACTACTAGAATGTGTGTTAGTGAGCTTAAGTGTCACGCCGAGATCTCAGTCGACCGCAATTCGTTCATTCAATGTCGACTATTTCAAAGGAGTACAAGCCCATGCTATAAAGTTTAAGCGGATTGATAGTGGCAAACTCCACATCACACACCCGATACAATTAATTTCCTAGACACTTCAAGATTCGGGCAAAGAACAGTTCTCGGTCATTATCGTCACTAAAGCATCTTCGAGATCTAAACTACAGTCGCACCCCTCAGGATCGTCACCACAAACATGGTCATCTTCTTCGTCGTACAGATCCTCATCTGAAAATCCATTGTATTGTCCGCATTCTAAGTCATTCTTAGCTTCGGCAGTGCATAGCGTATACGCACCCTGAGCACCGTACCCAAAATTTGGACCCGAAACTGTCGTATGTGAACCTGACGAGTTACACTGACCCGTGCTGTTGGAGGCTAAAGACGACTGGCTCGGTGTCGCATCATCACTCTGCCCATTCGTCACCACACCAGTTGTATTGGGTATCTCCTGCAAGGATATATGATTTGAATTTGTAGAAATACCATGATCCAATCCTGAGCTATCACGCTCAGAGAGCACTGCAGAATCGCGCACGAAATCAAACGATGTAGGCGCTGAAACGATTGCGCGTTTAATACCAGGATAACGAACTACCCCTTGTGTTTTAGATACGATCAGTCCCGCTATTGCATTCCGTTGGAGTTCTTGCAGTTGTCCGGAGAATTGTAAATTGGGGGCGGACTTCGTTCCGGCAGCCTTGGCTCTTCTAAGAGACCTCCGGGCCAAGGGTTCACCGACGGACGCGCACTTATTGAAACTCCTTGCCCTTTGACAAGAAGCTGTCGATATGGGCTCTTTGGTTAAAGAGTTCTCGTCTGATTTGGAGCTGGGCATTGTATATGTTGCCACCTATCAGGCTGCCAGTGTTTACTGGTGTATATGAGTATCAATATCTTAATACGCAAGAATAACCTGGTCTGTCACATACGTACTACATTAAAAAGCGGAGTCTCTGTCAACTTGCATCTATATAATATAATTGGTATCTCAATTGAAATGAGTCATAGCGCAAAGGCCTTCAGTCTTCAGAGTTCACTGGGATTTAGGGTTTAGGGCATCTCACGGTATAATGTTGCTTGAATTCGTTTCTTTTTATTGTTATTTTTATGCAACAACTGGGTAGATGTTCTATTTTTCTAAAAAGAAGCTAAAATATATATATTTTTCGCACCCACATCTCTTTTTAAGAGCCCCCTACTATCATTGAGAGATATTTATAGAATACAATCTTTAAAAATAATCAGTGAGAGATATTTATAGCATAAATGTGAAAAATATATATTTTTAAATTAAAAAATAAAAGAGGCCCGCTGTCACCCCGAGACCCCTCTCTTCTTGTGTGTGTGACAGGGCTGAGCCCAGTGAGCCGTGAGCCGCCTGAGGCTCTGAGCCTGCTCTGAGACCTGTTGAGGCCGAGGGCCGCCTGAGGTCGAGCAGCCGAGGCCCTCGGCCTGTGTCCTGTGAACGACCCGACTTTAGTGTTTATTGTCGTTTCCAGATGTTATGACTGTCTACCCGTGCTTAGCAGGGGTAGGAAGTCTGGCAGCCGGGCTGAAAAGTAGCTGAATATTGTAGGGACACAGAGGTTTTTACTGGCTCTATAAATATTACAGACGATGTGATTGGTGGACGTTTTCATTTCAAAAATATGTATCTTTTCAACCAATTTTCTTGAATTTAGTTATCCACGGGGAGGCTGTTCCGAAGTGAATATCTGATTCATCCCATTGGTTCTGAGATATATTTTTGCTTTTGATAGCAACTGGCGTGAACCTTGAATTCTGACCTTCATGATCACCTCGAACCTGGGGTTCAATTTTTTCTAAATAAATATATAGATAGACGTACAAATTAATAAGTAAATAAATGAACACACGCGCACGCACATAAATTAATGCATATCTACACAGTATAATACAGTTATTGTAGGAGTTTGCAAGTATGACAGTGAGTGAACACGTATCATGGTTAATTATAAGCGCATGGTATTTCTACCATCGAACATATTCTGAGTTAAAGCTGCTATTTAGAGTCAGTGAAAGTAAATCACGACGGTTAGTGAGATCGTTCCTGGATACAGGTAGTCCTGTTCCAGAAAATAGAAGACAAGAAGTAAGAGAGAAGGTAAACTGCGAGACCCAAAGCTCATCCAGTGTGCACAAGAAATATATAAGGCTAACCTAGATGAGCTCCAACGAAAAATTGAAAGAAGAGATGGGCGAAAAGTATCGTTCACCACAGTGCTCCGAGTACTAAAATTTGATCTGAAATACACGAGAAGAATAATGGAAAAGGCAGCCAGGTTTGCATCATTTGAAGCACAACTCGACTACTTTACCGTACTATCTCAGCGAAGTAACAATTCTTATTTCATTCATAGCACATCGTATTTATTTACTTGTAGATTTTATATGGTTTTAGGTATATATATAAAAAATAAATATATATATGCATATACTTATATATACATATATATATTTATATATATATATATATATATATATATATATATATATATATATATATATATATATATATATATATATATATATCTGTATATATGATATATA